GAATCTAATCGCAGCCGCCAAATTGCGTTTATGCAAATCTGACGGGCAAATCTGACGGCCCAAGAACTACTTCCAATTCGCAACCTCAGCTCAAAGTTCATACGCAGTGCGTTTGAACAATTTGGGATGCGGGTTTTTAACGTGTACAGTCAGTCCGCGCCACAGTAATGATAATTTTGCTTTGTCAACATGCACAAATACAGTGTTAGGAATGTTCTTATGCAATGCATGAATACACAACTTTTAAATGTATATCCGATTTTTTCTTTAGGGTTAGCCGCCTCAAAGGGATACAATAAAATTACGTAGGAAAAAAACACAAATTACCATGGTTATATTATTCAGCCAATACCACCACCAACCAAAACCAATCCAATACCATATATGGGCAACATTGCGGCAAAAAATGACAAAACAAGGGTTTATGACAAATCTTCTAGAGAAACGAGAGCTTATAAATACGTAGGGTTTCGAACACCCTTTTAGTGTCAAGTTTGACACGATCTAGCGATACATTGTGTTTTAGCATACGTGTAAACTCTCGATTGTGTTACGGTTGTGTTATTAGACCGTTTTAAAACGTACTCAACCGTACTGGTGACAGGAGGCGGGATGAGGAGGGGAGGAACACATATGCTCCCACGATCTGTCGTTAGTCGCGCATATGTCGCGCGTCCTGGGGGGGCGTTCGCTGGCCAATTTTTCACTGGCACGGCGAGGGAAATCAGGCATGTGGAACATCGATCAAGGCTTCGTGGGTTCGCCGAACCCAATTTGCGAAACGTGACGTCAGCATGCGACATCGTCGCGTCGGTTCGGTTTCCCCAAACCAAGAGCCCCCAAATCGCGTGCCCTTTCTCATGCCAAACCGAAAGCGCAGCCATCAGCCGCCCAGAGCTGCCAGGCAAACATCAACGTCACTCAGTGCCACACCTCAGGGCGTGTTTTTAGTAGGCGCCATCCTGAGAAAGTGTCATCCGAGAATGCTGGAAACCCATCACAACCGTTATTTCAAAACTTCAACGATTGCGATGTGTTTCCAACATGCTCGGATGACACTTTCTCGGGATGACACTTATTTGAAACACGCCCTCATACTGCAAAATCGTGGTATTAGGCAGGCCAAGATTGGCATGCCTCTTGGCTGGGCAGGTTTACGAAACCAAAAAAAAAAAAAAAAAAAAAAAAAAAAAAAAAAAAAAAAAAAACGCAGCTCACACTTGTCCCTCACAGGCACCTCTCTCACAACCAGCGAACAACACAGCCACTTCCCCTCCAACCCTACCTGTCAATCTGCGCAATTGCGCCAGCTTGTACCCATCCAACTGGCCACATTTTGAAATGTTAAGAAAGTGGGCATTTTCTCTGCTAGATTTTAGACGAATGTGCAATGGGCTAACAAGGCTTTTGATGGGCCCCACACTTCACTGCCCGCGAGTTTGTCGTATCCAGGCCTGCAGTCGTGGCCAACGTAATCATGAGCCGGCGACGTTACGTTTACCAAAGTATTGGGGCACACAAAGAAAAAATTACGTAGGTTTGGCGGCTTCGCAAATTCCACGCGCGCGGGATTTGGTCGCCCGTTCCCCTTCCCATTCCCCTAGGCAAATTGCCAGCGAACGGCCCCCTGATCTCCCACTTCCAAAAGCCGACATACACGGCCTCGCTATGCGCTTCCCAGAATCATTACAGGCGTTTCCCAATTTCTCGAGTCCGCATTTCCTGGGGCTCCCCTCGACTGCGTTTCACTTTGCTAATTATTGCTTCCCGTACCAGCACACCATTTTCACAACGATACGCCTTTCCTATCTGTACAACGCGCGCCGATGGGCCCCGCGTCGTTCGACTCCGCCGCGCCGTTTCTCCTTCCGCAGCCCGCGTACGCGCTCGACCCCGACGACGACGGCGCGCACCCAGTGTCCGCGCTGCCCCCCGCGGCGCAGCTGGCGCTGCCCGTGCTCGAGCTCGTCGCGGCGGAGGAGGGCGCCAACCCCAGCCCCTGGACCGAGCCGCTCGAGATCAATGGCGTCGCCGAGCGGCGCGAGCGCATGTGGCAGCAGCTGCGAGTCGCGTGCCAGAAGGTGATTATAACAAGGGCGGATACTGGTGCGAGGGAACGAGGGGGATTTTCCGTAGCGTGTGAGATGGTTTGGGATATCTGCGTCCCCTTCGCCCTACCTTATAACGCGGACTCGCATTTCTGACGGCTGTTGTCGATTCGTATTCGTCCCGCCCGCCCCGTTGCACGTCAGGCTCAAGAGGCGGAGCGGCGAGCAGAGGCGGAATCCCAAGCCCCTCTGGCGCACGGGCCAACGGCGACTGGGGGAGCATCGGCAGCAGCAGAGGGGGAGAGCAGCGCCCAGCCGAAATCTCCTGGAGCCCATGCCAGTGGTGCTTCTGCTGCTGCTGCTGGCGCGGCAGCAGGCGCGCACAGGCTGCCTCCCGGCCTGCTGCACTTCGGGCGCTCCATCGCGCGCCTGGTGGGCGCGGGGGGGGGCGCGCGGGTGGCGCCAGAGTGGATGGCGGAGGACGGAGAGAGGGGGGAGGCGGGGGAGAGAGACGAGGGGACGGGTGAGGGGAGAGTGGGGGGCGGTGACGGTGGAGCGGACAATCTGGCCACGTCTGTAGGGAGTGAGGGGAGTGTGAGTGCCACTGGTGCAGGTGATGCTGATGCTGGCGCTGCTGGCTATACTGCTGCTGCGGGGCGTGCAGTGCGTCGTGCGTTTAGTAACGAGGATGCTCTTAGCGGGTTGGAGGGCGGGCAGGCAGCAGCAAGAAGCGGAAGACTAACGCTCCAGCAGTGGCAGCAGGGAGGGGCACAGGCGGGCCCTCGGGCACAGGCGGACCCTCAGGCAGGCGCGCAGGGGGGATTGCCGGGCGGAGTGGGGGGGGGGAGAGGGATGCGCGTGGCGGTGGGCATGCAGGTGCAGCTGCCGCGGACTGTCTCGCCCAGAATCCGCGGCTCCATAACGCCGCGCTCGGGCAGGCTCAGGCGCCGGGGAGGGGCAGCAGGGGGCGCGGATGTGCCTCTGGGACTGGCGAGCCCGGGTGGGGCTGGTGTGGGCGATGAGAGCGCAAGGCGGGGCGGTGGGGTCCTGCTGGAGGATGTGATGGAGACGACAGAAGATGTGATTGTAGCAAGGGGTGGTGGCCGGGAGGTGGAACGGGCGGGGTCGTGGGGTGTGCTGCTGGGGGGCGTGGGGTTGGTGCAGCAGCGCGAGGAGAAGGAGAGGGAGTGGGCGCGAGCAGCAGCAGAGGCCGAGGCGCAAGCAGCAGCGCTGGCAGCGGCGGCGGCGGCGGAGAGAACAGCGGTGGCACGGAAGAGAGCAGGGCTTGACGGGCTGGAGGTGACTGTAACGAAGGGGGATGTAGCGGCGACAGGGGCTGAGGTTGGGTGGGGCGTTGTGGGGTTCATTCAGGTGGCGGGGGGGGGGGAGGAGGAGGAGGAGAGGAGGTTTGAAGTGGCGTGCGCCATCCGAGTGAGGGACGTGCGCACGGGGCAGGAGTACCTGGTGGAGAACCCTGCGGTCCTGCTCTGGGGGGGAGGGGGCCAGGGGACAGGTGTGGAAAGCACGGGGCGGGGATTTGGGGGGAGGCTGATGAGGGGGAGAGGGCAAGCAGGGGGAACTGCAGGGGGGGGAGTGTGGGCGGGGGGGTGATAGAGGGGGTGGCGGAGGGGGAGAACGTGGGGGCGCTGTTTGCGCTGAGAGGGGTGAGGGAGGCGGTGAGGGATGAGAGGATGACGGAGAGGAAAAGGAAAAAGAAGGTGCCACCTGCTGCCGCTGCTGCTGCCGCTGCTACTGTCGCTTCTGCTGGTGCTGGTGCTGCTGCTGCCGTTTCCACAGCAGGTGCAGGGGAAGGGGAGGAAGAGGGCTCAGCAGAAGGCGCAGTGGGCGGTGCAGCAGGTGCAGGTGCGGGGCGGATGGCGTTAGACACTGGGGATGCGCGGGGGCACGGAGTGGTGGGGGGGCAGGGAGAGGCGGGCGGAAGAGAGGGGACAGCAGGAGCAGAGGCTGGAAGAGCAGGGAAGGAGGGGAGGGAGGGGAGGGATGACGGGGGGCAGGGGGAGGTGGGGAAGCGAGACGAGAGCGACTCCGAGGCGGAGTACCGAGACGGGCTGCGCTTCGTGAGCGCTCGGCGCGACACACTGAGCCTGTCGGACGATGAGGAAGAGGGGCGACGGGATGGGGCGAGGGGAGGGGCGAGGGGCGAGGATGGAGAGGAGCAGAACCATTCTGAGGCGTTTGCGGATATTGAGGAGGAAGGGGAGGAGGAGGGGGAGGAAGAGGAGGATGAGGAGGAGGAGGAGGAGGAGGAGGAGGAGGAGGAAGATGGAGAGGAGGGAGACGAAGAGAGGGAGGGAGTTTCAGCGGAGGGGGGAGGGAAAGGGAGCGGTGAGCGGGAGGAGGAGCGAGAGGGGAAGAGTGGAGGCAAGACTGCTTCGCCTGAGAGTGGGCGGAAGTCCAGGTGGGGGCGCAGGGCAGGGAAGGGGAAGGCAGGCACAGGTGGGGTCAAGGGCGATGAGGAAAAGGACGGGGAGGAGGAGGAGGGCGTGGAGGGGAGCAGGGAAGTTAGGGGGGGGTTGGAGGATAGTGCTGAGGGGGCGCGCAGGGCAGGCCCAAGTCGAGCCGAGGGAGGGGGTGGCTGAAGGCCATCAAGCGCGCTGCGGGGTATGGCGGCAGCGGCAAGGACAGCGGCAGCACGCGAGGCGGGGGGAAGGGGAAGGAGGGCGGGAAGAGCAAGGGGGGACAGGGGGAGGGCAGAGAGGCCGGTGCAGGGGCAGCAGGGGGAGGGATGGGGGGAGAGGGTGAGGGGGATGGGGGCATGTGGGGAGGGGAAGGGGAGAGGCCGAGTGAGCCTTCAGCACAGCCAGGGGATCGCATCGACCAGCCGTCCACAGGAGCAGCAGCAGGCTCGGGCCAAGCCTCGTCCGGACTATCAGGCTCGGGATCAGGCATGGGGAAGGCAGCAGCAGCAGGGGGGGCAGCAGGTAGCTCGTGTGTGCCCCCCCTGGGCCCGGTGCGTGTGAAGGTGTCGGCGGTCAAGAAGCCCGTGCGCCAGCTCTCGGACCTCTGGCTGCGCCAGGAGGTCAGGGGCGCGCATGAAGGGGCCGTGTGGACCGCCAGGTTCAGCTCGTGTGGGCGGTATCTGGCCACGGGCGGGCAGGATGGCACTGTGAAGGTGTGGCAGGCGGTATGCGAGGGAGGTAGAGCTGGGGAGGGTGCAGGCGGAGGAGAGGAGGTGGTTGGGGTGTGGGAGAGGCGAGGCGGGAGGCTGGGCGGAGCAGGGGGGAGTGGGGGTGTGGAAGTGAGAGGGGCGGCTGCTGCTGGGGGGACAGGTGGGAGGGGGTGGGAGGATGCACAGGCGCGTGGGAGGGGGTACCCCCGGGAGAGGTTCGATGGCTCGCCGGCCTTCGCATCGGACGAGATCGCCCCTCCTCCCCTGCCCCAGGCGTCCTCCCTGTCGTCGGGGTTCCGCTCCGTGCCGTCCTCGCCCATGCACCCGCTCTTCAAGCAAGCGGCAGCAGACTCAGCAGCGGGCATGGGCGGGGCGGGTAGCAGTGGTGGAGGCGGGGGCGGGGGGTTGAGTGTGGGGCGTGCGGTGCCGCTGTTCTGGCTGCAGGAGGCGCCGCTGTGCTGCTTCACGGGGCACTCCGCTGATGTGCTCGACCTCGCGTGGGCGCCCAATGGGGTACAGTCCCGATCGCCTTGCACTGCCTCGATCCTCTCTTCCCTCCTTCCCTGTGCATGGCATGCATGGCATGCATGCATGGATGGATGCATGCATGGATGGATGGATGGATGGATGGATGGATGGATGGATGGATGGATGGATGGATGGATGGATGGATGGATGGATGGATGGATGGATGGATGGATGGATGGATGGATGGATGGATGGATGGATGGATGGATGGATGGATGGATGGATGGATGGATGGATGGATGGATGGATGGATGGATGGATGGATGGATGGATGGATGGATGGATGGATGGATGGATGGATGGGATGGATGGATGGATGGATGGATGGATGGATGGATGGATGGATGGATGGATGGATGGATGGATGATGGATGGATGGATGGATGGATGGATGGATGGATGGATGGATGGATGGATGGATGGATGGATGGATGGATGGATGGATGGATGGATGGATGGATGGATGGATGGATGGATGGATGGATGGATGGATGGATGGATGGATGGATGGATGGATGGATGGATGGATGGATGGATGGATGGATGGATGGATGGGATGGATGGATGGATGGATGGATGGATGGATGGATGGATGGATGGATGGATGGATGGATGGATGGATGGATGGATGGATGGATGGATGGATGGATGGATGGATGGATGGATGGATGGATGGATGGGGATGGATGGATGGATGGATGGATGGATGGATGGATGGATGGATGGATGGATGGATGGATGGATGGATGGATGGATGGATGGATGGATGGATGGATGGATGGATGGATGCCTTGCTGCTTGGAGCCATGGCTCTCGCCCTCTGCACCAATGCGTCCTGCAACTGCCGTCTCTCACCGTCCCACCCATGCGTCTCTCGCGTTCTTCTCCTGTCCCTCCAGCGCCCCGTGCTGGTGTCCGCATCAGCAGACAGGACCGTGCGCCTGTGGCACGTGGGGAGCAAGCAGTGTCTGCGCGTCTACCCGCATCCTGAAATTGGCAAGTGCATTGTACCTTGACGTTACGTACACTACATATAGTGGCCATCTGGGTATACTTCACGTGGAGATCTTCTTGGTGCATTGCATCTGAACGTGGTCCAGACGTGCTCTCAAGGTATGGATGTGGGCGTCTTTTAACCCAGTGCCGGCCGGCACACATCCCTGCCCCGCCCCCCTCTTCTCCCCTGCACACACTCACCATGGTGGCGGTCCACCTGCTGCACGCCAGCGTCTTTTTGCCGGGCACGTTGGACGACATGGTGCGCATGTGGGCAGCAACGCGCCATTCCCCTCACCTGTGACTCCTCCCCCCCTTCCCCCCTCTCTCCCTCCCAACAGTGACCACAGTGGCCTTCCACCCGGTGCACCCCAACACCTTTCTGTCGGGGTCACTGGACGAGAAGGTGCGCATGTGGGCGGCGGCACAGGGCTCAGTGCTGGACTGGGTGGACGTGGGCGAGATGGTCACTGCGGCCAACTTCACACCTAATGGGCAGGTGAGTGCATGCTGCAAGGACTCTGGGCGGTGCATGCATGGCAGGTGGGCGGGCAGTGGTGGGCTCGGTGGACGTGGGCGAGGTGGGCGACTGGGTTCAGTGCACATGCTGCGGTCATCTGTGCTTGCTGACGTCATCCGTGCTTGCTGCGGTCATCCGTGCTTGCTGACGTCTGTGCTTGCTGGCATCATCCGTGCTTGCTGCGGTCATCGGTGCTTGCTGACGTCTGTACTTGCTGGCATCATCTGTGCTTGCTGGGGTCAGCCCGTGTGGACCTCGGTGGGTGCATGGGGTCCTGATGGTCGCAGCTGCTTACTGCCCTACGGATGGGCAGCTGGGTGCTCAGCTGCTCAGCTCAGTGCCTCGCTGCTTGCTTGGCTCGCACAAGACACGGCAGTGCACATGTGAAGTGGGGTGTGAACTGCTGCAAGAGTGGGGAGTGATGTGCTGCCATGGTACTGCCATGGTACTGCCATGGTACTGCCATGGTAGTGCAGCATGGCAGCAGCCGTGCGCTGTGGTTGCTTCTTATAGTAGGATCAGCCTTCCTTGGCCGGAACATGTGTTGATGCTGTGGGCCTCAAGCTGTGGCGCCTTGGGCCTTGGTGGAGGAGCTCATTGCGTTGCCCAGCTCATCGCTTTACCCAGCTCACCGCTTTACCCAGCTCACCGCTTTACCCAGCTCACCGCTTTACCCAGCTCACCGCTTTACCCAGCTCACCGCTTTACCCAGCTCATCGCTGTGCCCGGCTCATACGCCTGTATTCCCTACCGTCTGTACTTTCAGGGCATAGCAGTGGGAACAGCCATCGGCAACTGTCGCTTCTACTCCATATCTGGTAACCCGATGCTCTACTGCTGTAACCATAGCATCCTGTGCCGCACGGCTTTGCCTGCTCTCATCCCTCTCAGTGATCACTTGCTAAGTCACCCTTTCCCCCATCACCCATCACTGCCTTGGCAGTGGATGGCGAGCTGAGTCTCGACGAGTCAGTGGACCTGCGAGGAGCCAAGTCTAAGAAGCTTCCCCCGAAGAAGGTGACGGGCATCCAGCACGTGCCCGGCTCCTCGTCCCTCGTGCTCGTGTCCGCCGCCGACTCGCGCCTGCAGCTCTTCCAGGCGGCGCAGCTGCGCTGCAAGCTGCAGGGCCACAAGAACGTTGCTAGCCACCTGGCCGCTGCTGTCAGCGCGTCAGGAGATTTCATCGTGTGCCCCAGTGAGGACGGCAGCATTTTTCTGTACAACCCACCTGGGCTGCTTGCAAAAACCGGGCAGCCGAATGACCGGCAGAAAGCGTACGAGTATTTTGCCTGCCCGAGCGCGAGCAGTGCGGTGGCGGTGTGGCCGCTGGGCATGGAGAGGCGGCGAGTGGGTCCATCGCAGGCGCCCCGGGGTGGTGTCACGAGCAGCATCGCGACCTCTTCATCCGGCCTACTCCCCGATCAGCCTCGGCTTGTTCCCAGAGGCACCAGCAACGCATCTCCCTCTGCCATCCTCTCGGCCCGGCCTGGGACCGCTACTGCTGGTGGTTCTGTTAGTGGTGCGGCGGCTGGTGGTGGCGGTGGCGGCAGCACAGTAGGGCTGTTCTACGGAGGCGGTGCTACCCTCACACCAATACTACCGTCTCCCTCGCCGTCGTTCGCCGACACGGACTGGGAGCAGAGCAACCGGGGCAGCCAGGCGGACAGCGACACAAGCCGACCTGCTACCAGCGCCAGCGTGGGCAGCGCCACGGAGGCGTCCGTGGCCCAGGGCAGCACGGGTGCCACGGTGTTTCAGTACAGCACGTCCACGGATCTGGGGGGGTCGGGTGAGGCCGGGAAGGCTATGAGGGAGCGCTTTGAGGCTGCTGTGGCGGCCATTGGGGATGGGGAAGGAGGGGGGGCGCCCACCGCCGCTGCTGCTGCTGCTGGCGGTGATGCTGGTGCTAAGGTGTCGGGGCAGGGGGTGCAAGAGGGAGGGTCATCAGTGGCGGCAGTGGCAGCAGCAGAAGTGGCGGTAGCAGCCACAGGTGCGTCCAAGCCCCCCCTGCACTCTGCTGCATCAGGCGCTTCACGGAGCCCTCTTCGTCTTTTCTCGCCCTCCTGGACGGCAAGCGATGAGTTGGCAGGTGCCAGTGCCAGCTCAGCAGACAGTCTGCAAGCAGCGGCGGCAGCAGTGGCGGGCACAGAGGGTCCTTTGGCAGCGCAGGGACAGACAGGGGCAGCGGCAGCAGGAGGAACAGCAGCTGCAGTCGCAGCAACGGCAACGGCAACAGCAGCCACGGTGACAGCAGCAGCGCCAGCGCCCAAAAGGAAAGAACAGATGCCGTCTGCTGCATCAACAGCCGGGCCCACACAGGTGAAGGGCAGAGCAGGGGCTGCAGGGGTAGGGGGAGGGGGAGGCGAGGGGGGAGGGTGGCAGTGGGGCGATGGCACAGCAGAGAGGGCGTCGGCTCTGGGACTGGTGATAGTGACGGCCAGCTTCACTGGCGAACTGCGGGTGTACCAGAACATGGCAGGGCCCTCCAAGGGCTAAGGCCGAGAAGTAATGTGCCGCTCAAGGAAGAGGAGGGGAGGGTTAGGGTTACAACTTACATGCGTCCGCTATGGGTGGGGCAGCTAACTTCACTGGAGAACAGAGGGTGTACCAAAACATACCCGTATTCGCCCGGATAAAAGACCCATGGGTCTTGTCCAATATCCCCTAAGAATTTGGAAGTTTGTCTTATAAACAGAAGGAATGGGGGTCTTTTAATTCTTATAAATGGAACACATTTAACTTTACGAAATATGCATGTATAATGTCCTATTACTGCCTCATGTCCATATCGAGTGGTGGGCCGACAGGAACGTTGCGAATTGGCCGCAATGATTACGGCATGGTGCGCTTGCGTGGGTTGCCTAAGCAATTTCTGGCAGCGAATGTTGGACCATTTTTGGCCAGCTGCGGTAGCATTGCGGCAGCAAATTCCGAATACATGACCCAGGGAGCGGGGCTGACGTTATCAGGGTATTTTATCCTGAATCCCTGATTTCACATGGTATGTTTTTTGGCCACCCACCCTTAAAGCCCAGGTCCCAGATTAGAAAAACGAGTCAGGTCAACGCTGGTTGAGGCTCGGCAATGGTTGGGGATGAGGTTTGGTACTTTGGCGAATTCCCATTGTCGCGAAAACGATTTACGAAACCAAACCCAGGGTCGCGAAGGCACGGAACTCGCCAGGACGCTGCCTCAAACTATCCATGCAAATTGTGACACGACCTCAGAGGAGTGTGCAGTGCAGTCGTCATAGGTGCAGTGCAGTCGTCATAGCATATCATAGCTCCATAGTACAGCACACTAGATAGGGCAAATACATGGCAAGGGAACAAGGGTGAGCAGGCCATGCTAGTTATCAAAGCATGGGAGGGAAGGGTGGGCAAGTTGGAACAGAAAAATGCAAATGAGACTAGGTGGCAGATCTGAAAGACCTGCCGATAGATGAAGGAGTTTGTCTCCTTTACAGCAAACTCCTCTTCTAGTCGAATCACAATCTGTAAATTTTTTACTACAAAAAAATTTCTCATATTGTGACACGACCTCAGAGGAGTGTGCAGTGCAGTCGTCATAGGTCAAACGAGACATCAAGTGGTAGGTCGTCGGCGGTGGCGCTCGAGGGTGGCCTGGTATTGATCGGTCGCGCTCGAGCGAGTAGGATCTTGTAGCGCGCGAGAAGCAGCCACTAGCTCGCGGTCAAGCTGAGTAATGTAAAGCTCCTTGGCTGTATCACTTCGCCAGCGACCTAGGGCCTTGAAAAGCCGGTCGGGGACTCCAATATCAACGGCGACCGTCGCAGCCGCCTTGCGGAAAGAATGGGTGCCCAGGAGGGCCGGGTTAAGGCCTACACGGGAGAAAGCATCTCGACACCAACCCCGAATGGCGGCGTACGAGGGAGAGCGATCTGAGGGGGAAGCTCGGGCACCCGGCTGAAATATACGAATAAGGGGGCCAAGGGTCCGCGGAGAATAGCCAGCCAGGAAGAGGAATTGTTGGACACGCGACACCGGACAGTGGCGGGCAGAAGAAGCAGCCACTGGGACCCAAACACCGGTGCCAGCTTGGTCGGTCTTCGAACGAGGGATGAACAACCACATGCAGTCCCGATCGAACTCGATCTGGTGCCACTGGAGGGAGACGAGATCAGAGAAACGAAGGAAGGCTGCGAACATGAGGAGGGGAATAAGGCCCCGCTGGAATGTGGCCGGATCATGCGATGAGAAGTAGATGTCACAGATATCGTAAATCTTGGCTGGAGGAATGGGCTCCTTAGCTTGAGGTGGCTTGCCACAATGACGCATGGCATAATCCTTGACTTGCGAAGAAAAGGGGCCGCGAATCGGGGAGGGGTGGCCAACCAGCCAATGGGCGCAGGATATGGCGGAACACGCAGTGCGCACAGCTGAGACAGTAGCGCCGCGACGGACCGAGTGCAGCAGAAAGAGGGACGCTGTCAGGTCGGTGGCGGGAAGGAAGGGAAGTGAGTGCGCCAAACAGAAGGCTCGAAACTGTCGCCAGTAGGGTTCGTAAGTGCGAAGGGTAGACTTCGCCCGAAGATCAACGGTGAGTGTGAGAAGGTCCGACAATAATCGACCAATATATGAGCCTGCGCAGTGAAATAAATTGATACATTAGTTGAATGCAAAACGAAGCGCATACATCGGAGAGTTCGGAAGACCAGCACCGCTAAAGGCATGACGGTCACTGCCAACGCGTAAACAACGAGCACCAAGGGTAAGGCGAAGGGCCATAACGACCTCCGGGCCCCAAGTGGAGCCGTCCAAGCTTAGCAAAGGCCACCAAAAGGCACTGGGCCAATATGGGATCACGAGAGTGAGAGAAGTGCGCGAGCGACGGGCATGAGCTAGGACAGCCGGGATGAGGGTGGGTGGAGGAAAGGCGAAGCAATTCTCGTGGCCCCAATTGATAGAAAAAGCGTCTTGCGCAACCGCAGAGTGTGAGAACTCGAGGGAGCAGAAACGAGCGAGCTGCGCATTGGCAGGGGATGCGAACAAGTCGATAGTATGAGGCCCCCAATGCCTCTCAAGCAGCCGGAACCAAGGTCGTGTCAAGGAGTAGTCGTCGTGGAGCTCAATCTTGGACAGAGCGTCAGCCTCGGTATTCAGCGCACGGGGAATCCATTGGACCGTAAGACGGATCATATGGCGCACGCACAATTGAATAATCGCGCGGCATACGAAGGTAAGCTCGGGACGGCGAGAGCCTCCCTTCTGGAGGATGTAGTAGGCCGCCTGACTGTCGCTGCGGAGCAAGATGTGCGAACGTCGGATTTCGACAGAAAAGGCCGAAAGGGACCAAAAGATTCCGGCCAGCTCGCGAAGGGTACTGGACGAGCCCAAGAGGGCTAGAGGCAGCGGGGAGGAGAGCGAGCCGACACGACCATCCGGCGCTGAATAACAAGCCCCCCAAGCATGGTCGCTAGCATCCACGTACATGACCACGTCGTACAAATGCGGGTTGTGGAAGCGGGCGCCGTTGAAAACGTCGAACTGTGTAAGCCAAAATCGCAGTTCTTCAACAGACTCAGGGGTGAGGAGAATGGCCGCCCCCCATGAGTGGCATTCGGCGATCTGCGTAAGAAGGTGGTGGGAGAAAGCGCGCGCGACAGTGCCAAGCGCCAAGGACATGGAGGCCAACATGCCGGTGATGCGGGCAGCGCGGCGAACAGGGATGCGACGCCCGTTAGTGCCGAGTGTGCCTAATTCATCCAGCTCGGCAAAAAGCCGGTTGCGCCGATCCGCATCGACCGAGAAAGTGGTGGTGCGCGTGTCCAGCAAGAGGCCCAAGAACTTCAAAGATTGTGCCGGTGCGAGTTGTGATTTTTTGAAATTCACAACAAAGCCCGCGGCTGCGAGGTCGGCAATGATTATGGAGCGGTTGTGAAGAGCCTCCGCTCGAGTGGCACTGATGAATAGGATATCATCGACGTATGGAATAAGGCGGATGCCACGGCTACGCCAGCGTTTGGCGAGTTGCTTAATTAACTGGGTAAACACAAACGGCGCTGTAGCCAGCCCGAAAGGCAAAGAGAGGAATTGGTAGTCCTGCCCTTGCAAGGAGAATCCGAGAAACTGCCAGAAAGCGGGGTGAATGTCGACGTGGTGGTATCCAGATTTGAGATCGATCGTGAATAGCCAATCGCCTTCTTGCACCAAATCAGGAACGCGAGTAAGTCCTTCGTATCGAAAACGAGGTACTGAGAGGAATGAGTTGACATGCCGCAAATCCAGTATCAGTCTCTTTTTTGAGGGTTGGACAATCACGTTTAAGGGGCTAACGCATGTGAGGGTTGTGGAAGGAGGAACGACCCGAGCTGCGCCGGTGGCGAGAAGCTCGGCCACTGCGCCTACGGCGAAAGAGGTGAATTGCAAAGCACCGGCATGGTTCTTAGTACGAGACGGAGGGGGCTCAGAGGCAACCCATGGTAGGCGATATCCAGATGTAATCACCGATAGAATCAAGCGGCTGTCGCACCAGGCGGACCACCATGCAGCGCGGTCACGGAGGCGGCCTTGCATGCGGGTAATCTTGGTTGCGTCATCGGCATAGGCCGAAATGGTTCCGAGCTCTGGTAGGAGAGGGAACACAAATAGGGACGGTAGAGAATCAGGAAGGTACCTCATGTAGTTCCGAACGCAACGATTTTTTTTTTTTTTTTTTATTTTTTTTTTTTTGGAAGGAAGGCAAACGCTAGATATAGGTGCCCGCTTGCTCGCTATTATTCGGTCACGTCATCCCTTAAGTGATAAACTATGGGTTGGGAATGTGAACTTGGCATTTTGGGCTGTAGTTGGTCGTCATATATTCCTTGTCGTGAACCAAAAAGTGTTTCGGGAAATGTTGCCAAAGCATTTGCCAAGTGTTCTAATCTTAGTCCGCCAGGAGTGTTCACCCACATGTTCGCAAAACGTTTGCAAAGCATTTGCGCAAATGCTACGCAATCGTTTTGCGAGCATACGGTTTTTTTTTTTTTTTTTTTTTTTTTTTTTTTGCGATGGACATAGAAATCTTGTGATGAATCTTATCAACGTCAGTCTTTAAAGGACGCACACACATTGTGTATGCGTCTTGTGGGCACGCTCACGTCTTCTTGCACGGGCCCAACGTGCAAGACCATGTGGCCGTATGACGCGCGTATTAATCTTGCTTGAATGCACAAATGTGCGTGTGTGTGTTTTTTTTTTTTTTTTTTTTTTTTTTTAATTAAGAACGCTACAACATCGGAGAGGTTAAGCAAACTTTACACAATCTTAGCTGGCCGATTGGCCCCTTGGCCCCTTTGGGGGCAATTAGCCATCCCATGCCCGGGTTCACGGCAATAGAAACAACGGCCGTCGCCGTCCCTACGCCATGTGTTCCAAAGGCGCTCCCCTTGGCCGCGAGGGCGAAGAGGGGGTTCAGGACGGGAGGTGGGATGGGTGGGCCGAGTCGGCCTCTTCTTGCTGGCCGCTACAATCTGAGAAGCGGCCTTCACATTCTTATCCTCTACCACTTCCCCATACTTAATCTTAAGGGCCATATTGGCCACTTCGAAACCGCGTTGATCGGCGGTAAACAAAAAATGAATCTTCTCTTCCGCCTCCTCTACTATCTGCTGGAGATAGTCGGCGGCTTGTTCTCCACCGTCAAGTGGTAAAACCGAGATAGCATGACGTGCAATAGCTTGAATGCGCTCAAAACTAAAAAGTTGCGTACGAATTCCATCGCTTTTAACTAAGGAAGAGCGCAACTGAGGACGTGCAGGTGGAATAGGAGCGAGG